TAGAATCATTCATTTTATTCTTAAAGACCCATTTGGTTCCAACTACACTTTGTCCCTTTGGTCTTTCTACAAGCTCCCAAAAAAACATTCTTGTCAAATTAGCTTAATTCTTCTTGCTTGGCTAAGATCCAAAACTCATCAAATAGGGCTTGATTGATGTTGGTGGGCTCATTCATTAAGATAAAGGTAGAGTGGTTCACTTCCTTCCTAAGTCCATGCCTAGTCCTAACACCTTCAGAAGGTTCTCCTATGATCAATTTTTTAGGGTGACTCAAAGAGTATCTCCAATCTCTAGGCATGGTGTGTGTAGGTTCAACCCTTTCCTCCACATTTACATTTTCCACTCCTTAGGTAATCTAACCTACTCCTTCTATAATTTGGGGCTCTACCCTCTTCTCTAAATTTTTAACTCCTTAGGTAATCTCTCTAACTTCATCTTCATCCTCAACTCTAGACATCTTAGGATCAGATTCATCAAACACTACATGAGTAGTCTCCTCCACCATTAATCACCTCTTATTAAACACCCTAAAAGATTATCCCATACTAGAATATCTTGAGCATACTCCATCAGATTTTTGGTCAAATTTTCCTAAGTGTGACTTCTTATTATTAAGAATGAAAACCTTACGGCCAAAGACATGGAGGTGGGAAGGGTTAGGTGTCCTACCCTTAAGGATCTCATAGGGTGTCTTAGAATGTTTGATTTTAACATTTACCCTATTCAATACATAACAAGCTGTGTTTACCACTTCAGCCCAAAGTCTTTTAAAAGTGAATACTCAGTAAGCATGGCTCTAGTAGCTTCAATTAAGGATCTATTCTTTCTTTCAACTACCATATTTTGCTGAGGGGTGTCCTAGGAGCTAAGAAGTTGTGACTAACCCCTTTATCCTCACAAGTCTCCAAATCTAACATTTTTAAACTCTCCCCTAAGGTCACTATCGATGGTCAAGATCTCACAACCTACCTTTTTTTGAATCCAAGTGAAGAAGAATCTAAACTCAATAAAAGGCTCATTCTTATGTGACAAAAATCTAATCCAAGTAAAGCTCGAGTAGTCACTGACAATCACAAAACCATAGACTTTTCCTCCTAAGCTGGCAGTACTAATGGGTCCAAAAAAATCCATGTGAAGGACTTCTAAAGGTCTAGAGGTACTAATGTTCTTAATGGAAGAAAAGAGGATTAGACTTGCTTCCCTAATTGGCAGGCATAATAAAGATGGTCTTTAGAGAACTTAAGCTTGGAAACACCTCAAACTAAGTTTTACTTGGTCACTCTCTTAAGGGTTTTCAAACTGGCATGATATAACCTCCTATGTCATAACCATGAATCATCAGCAGCAATTTTTTAAGCAAAATGAAGCAGCACATTCAATATTATTTAAGTCAAGCATATAAATAATGTTGATCCACTTTCCTTTCAAAATAGTGTTGTTATTTAAACTTATAAAATAAATATTTGCTAAGAATTTTATGATGAAGCCCTCATCACAAAGCTGACTGATGTTGAGAAAGTTTTGTTTCAGTCAATCTACAAGAAAAATATTCTCAATTAAAAGGTTATTAGAGTTTATGATTATACCTACGCTCACCACTTTCCTAGTGGTGTTGTCTCCATAAGTAACCTTGCCTCGAGCCCTAGCCAAGAGCAAAATGAATTTGTTAGCATATCTAGTCATGTGTCGTGAGCATTCGCTGTCTAGGTACTACATACTCTCACGAGGCCTTTTGTGATAGCACACATATAAAATCATAAAATGTCAGATTTAGGAACCTAAATATGTTTGTATCCCTTCTTATAAAAAGATGAATGCAATGCATGTATGTTATGTTGTGAGTTATGTAATTTGGGTCTCCACACCCAATGTGTACTATGGTGAATAGTGAAAGTGTGTGAGATTTGTCCTAACATTCCATATGAAAAACATCTAACACCAGAAAAAGGATTTATTAATCTACTTGGGTGGTGATTCTTCCTTTTAAAGTTATGTAATGCATGCAATATTCGTTTATTTTCAAATGCTTTGAGATTTTCTAAGTTTTTAAACTCTTTTTCTAGCTCAACATGAGAAGGCTTTAAGGAATCATGTGTATCAGATAATTCAATATGCTTTTGTTTAATACATCAAACTCATAGTGTAATGACATGTGATTGCTATCGATTGTAGAATGATCTTTAAGTAAAATTTCATGCTTTTTTTATAAACTTAAAAACTCTAATTTAGAACTAGCATGTGATTTCTTAAGTTTTATATATGATGCATGAATTTATTTAGAAAATTCAAGTAGTTGCTCGTAGGTTAGTTCACATACATCTTCTTGATTACATTGGACATGATGATCGTCTACCATCAAGCACAAGTTTGTCGTCTCCTCTGCAGCTTCAGTCTTAGAGGAGTTAGATGTAAAATCTATCCAAAATGCCTTTCAAAACCACTTCTTGTCCTTGTCCTTTCTGAACTTGGGTTTCTCCTCACCCTTCTCCTTGCTAGGATGAGCCTTCATTGTACGACAATTAGCTTTAACGTGTCCCAGCTTCCTGGATTCAAAATAGATCGTATCATTGAAGATCTTAAAATTTGATGGTTCTTATGCTTCTTCATTAGAAATATTTTAATTTGCCTCGTGATTAAGGAAACATCATCACTTTTAGTCTCGAAAGAATCAGTGTTCGTGTCGTTGGCCTTCAGTGCCACAATTTTCTCCTTCTTTTCTCACTTGCATCAATATTTCTTTGATTCACCTCTTGCTCGTAAGAAATGAGTGATCCAAGTAAGTTATCAATTGAATAAGTATTCAAATCGTTGGATTCAATAATTACAGTAATCTTAGCATCAAAGGAAGAATGCAAGCATCTTAAAATATTATTGACCTTTTCATAATTCTTGAGTTCTCTTCCTGAAGAATGCATTGAGGTGATAATTTGAGTAAATCTAGTATATATGTCAGAAATCAATTCATTAGATTTCATATAAAAAATTTCATAATCATGTAGTAAAATATTCAATCAAGATTGCTTAACTTTGTTGGTTCGTTCATAAGTGATTCATAATTTATCCCAAATTTCTTTACGAGTAGTACAAGTTGAAACATGCATACCCTTCCACAGTATTATGATTATAGGAGTTAGCCATGGACGAAATTCAAATGTTTTCAAAAACTTTATTTTATGGGTCCTTCTTTAATACCACTTTAAAGTTTGTTAGGAATGTTAAGCCCTTATGATCTAGCCCTAGGCTAACCAAGATGGGGTTGAATTGGTATTTTAAAAATTTCTTGATCAAAACTTAAATTCAAACCAAACCAAAATTCACCACAAAGAAAAACCAAAGTGAGAAAATTAAATGCGAAAAAACAGTAATAAAGAACACAAGAATTTATAGTGGTTCAGTAACTTAACCTAGATCCATTCTCCGAAGGCTCCCTCTAAGTATTTCATTCAACTTAATATCTCTCCTTTTGCTCCCATAGCAATGAGGAGAAGCCTTTGCAAACCTCCTTTCCACCGACACAGTGGGGTAGAGAACCTGACTCCTTTTGCTTCCTCCTGAAGCAGGCAGAGAACCAGGCTCCTTTTGCTTCATCTTGAAGAAGGTTGAGAACCTCAATCAGTTGCTGAAGTAGACCTTTCTTGAACCTCCAAGGAACCAGGGATGATGACTAGAGAAGATGACTCGAATCCTTTCTTGGAGCAACCTTTATGAAACCCCTCATAAACTCCCCCTCATAAGATCCTCTCTCTCTCCCCGTTTCTCTCTCTCTCCCCGTTTCTCTACTTTTGGGTAAAACAAGAGATATTATATAAAAGAGTTTAAAAATAGCTCTTAATTGAAACAAACCGACATTATCATGCTGATGATTTTCCTATAAGATCAGTATAAATTTATCTCAATCAGCAAGGATAATTTTGGATGATAAGAAGGAATTTTGTTTCATATCATAGTATATCAACATGTATTATTAGTATAATTCAATGAATATCATCCAGAGCATCACCCTGGATGGGATTCTGGATGATCAAAAAGTAACTTCATTATCAAGGATGATCTTGCGATCTTCCTAGATGATTAGTTCAAAACATCACAGATCATCCAGTACATCGCCTTGAATAGATGTCTGGACAATGAAATATTAACCCGATCATCTGGGCCGATCTCATGATTGTCTAGGATGATTAGTTAGAAATAACACATATCGTCTAGAACATCACCCTAAATAGAACCAGGCTGGTGTTTGATCGTCCAGGAAGAGTTAAGGTTTGGTTAACTGATCATCCTGGATGATCCTACGATCATCTTGGATTATATGACCTTGCAATCATAGCTTAATTGCTTTCCTTAATTACTAGATTAATTTAGGCATAATTGTGCTGCATATTCCAAGACAATGTATTAAAAAAACATACCTAAATAGATCTAGCGGCTGATTTTTTCTGATTTGAGTCTATCGTCTAGGATGATGATAACATCATTCGGGATGATATGCTTAGTGATGGAAACCTTAATCAAGATGCCCTAATTAGGGTTTCTATTTTTAACTAATCATCTAGGATAGTGTGATAAAAATAGAGAACTCTAAAATAATAAAAAAATTTCCCTCAAGTGTGTGTGTGCAAGATTACTTTGCAATAGGACCCACATTGATACAATTGACTCAAGAAAAGGAAAAAGATTACAAAGTGACTCAGTCATAGTCTACCTAATCGTGAGTTGGCTTGAGCTGCACTCAATGTTTTTTTTTTTTTTTTTAAGAATGCATAGAGCAAATATTATAAAGAAAGAAAGGGAAAAAAACCCAACTAAGTACAAGCTAAAGATTCCTCCTCCAAAATACTAACAAATGAAGGAGGAATCTTGTCAAGTAAAATGTTATACCAAAAAAAACTATAAAAGGTACCATAGTTAGCACAAATGTCAGCTAACTTATTACAATCCCTTTTCACACAATTGAAAATAACAAAATTAAAACTATCAATTATAAACAATTTATTCATACCTTTGGCTTCTTTCTTTTTATGAATGAGATTGATAATATTGATATTATGACTTTCAATTATGATACATTTATAACCATGCATCCAATCTTTGAGTATATCTTTACCAGAAGTTATAGCTAGAAGCTCCAAATGAGTGATATCCCAATGAATTTCAGGCTTCCCAAACGCTGCTATAAGTCTTCCTTTGAAGTCTCTAATAACACCACCAATTCCTCCTTTATAAGAGGGAAACAAAGTTGCATCAACATTCAACTTGATCCATTCGGGTGGAGGAGGGCACCAACGATCTTCAAACAGCATATGCTGATTAGAACCCAACCGGCCCGATTTGATGAAGTTAGGAGTTTTAAGAGCTCTTAAAAAGCTGATTGCTTCAATTGCTATAAACATAGAACTCTTTCCTTTCTTCCCATGAACCAATTCATTCCTTTCTTTCCAATTAAGGTAGATCACATTACATAATAAGCTTGACATAAAATGATTTTGCCTGAACAACCATTCAAAAACTTCCTCTTTGTTATTAAAATCTGTTATATGAAAGCCCCAAGTATCCAGAATTTTAAATATTTCAACCAGTTTTTGACATCTACAAATAAGATGACAAATATTCTCTTCTTCTTGACAGCCTCTAGGACAATACGAACTGGTTTGAAGCCTTCTATAGGATAGAAAGGAAAAGGTTGGTAGAGCATTGTTAAACATCCTCCAGCAGAAATTTTCTACTCTGGCATTAACTTTGGATTTTTTCAGCCAACTCCAATGAGATTGAACAGAATTAGAAGAAGAATTGATATTAGCAGCCATAGATGAGATAGTTCTACCAGATTCCATGTGAATGAGATCAAAATTATCATTAATAAGCTCAGATTTGATTTCTGTATGGCAGATTAGCCGAACCAATTCATTGCCAAAAAATTTATAAAGTTTATTAAGATTCCAGTAACTACCAGAAATAAAATAATCCACTGTTAACTTCCCATTTGCTTCTAATGGATTAACAAAAGTTGGCCATCTGTTAAGACACTTATCAAGGATCCAAGTATCTTCAAATACATCAATAGAATTAACGTTAGCAATATCCCACCTCACGATATTTTTCAAAAATTTGCTTCCATCCTTAATGATTTTCCAAGCAGCAGAAATAGATTTATTCCCATTAACAACCTCCCAACAAGATCCGTATATGGGGTAAAGAGTTTTATGTAATAAGGATTCTTCATCTTTCATGTATTTCCAGGCAAGCTTGGCCCTTAGAGGACCCAATTTATTAGAACAGGACTGCAAATCTCTACCGCCATTATCAATAGGTTCACAGAGCTTTTCCCAACTCAAATAATGTAACCCATGAACTTCATTTGATTTATCCCAAATAAACCTTCTGCAGTGTTTCTCAATATCTCTACGATCTGCTTTAGGAACCAAAGAAATTGTAGAGTAAAATGAGGGAAGAGCTAGAATAACAGTCTTCACCAAAATTAATTTTCCAGCTAGAGAAATATATTTTAACCCCCAACAATTCAATTTTTTGAGGACCTTGTCAAGAAGAAACTGAAAGTCAACCCTTGAAAGCCTTCTCAATGTTAGCTTTGATCCCAGATAATTAATCTCCTTAACTTCCTTATAACCCATAATCCTTTTAATTTTCCTCTTCTTACGGCTGTTAACAGCTTTACCAAATAAAATCCCTGATTTATTTGAATTCACATTTCGCCCTGTCCATTCACAATATCTGGTAACAATTTTTTTAATAGTTTTCATATTCTTAAGCTTAGCTTCAGCAAAGAATATGATATCGTCAGCATACAGTAGATGTGAAATTTTTGGACCATTCTTACTAACCCGAATTCCAAACACATCCTTTTCCATAATTCCATTTGTAAGAAGTTGAGAACATATTATGAAAAGATAAGGAGAAAGGGGACATCCTTGTCTAAACCCACTCTTGGCTTTAATCCAATTAGAAGGCTCCCCATTTATCAAAATAGAGAAGGAGGGGTTTTGAACACATTCCATAATTAATTTTGAGAAAAAATCAGGAAAACCAAAATAAGAAAGAACCTTTTGAAGAGTAGGCCACCCCATAGAATCATAAGCTTGCTCCATGTCTAATTTAATAGACACAAGACCCTTGGAATCTTTAGAAATCCTAAATTTGTGAAAAAGTTCTTGTGCAATCAGAGCATGATCCTGAAGAGATCTCCCTTTATCAAAAGCTGCCTGTTCAACAGTTATGATCTTTTGAATAATAGCTTTCATTCTGTTAAGGATCACCTTTGAAGCAATTTTGTAAATTGTGTTACACAGGCTAATAGGCCTATAATTATGAGCATAACTTGGGTTATTGATTTTAGGAATAATAACTATTAAAGTTCTTTTTCACTTATCATCCATGATAGCAGTTTGAAAGAAAGAATTCAATGCATCCTAAAATTCAGTTCTAACTACTGACCAATAGTTTTTAATGAAGGAGTAAGTTATCCCATCTTCACCAGGAGAAGTAAAACCTGTAGTATCAGTGATAGATTTTTCAATTTCCTCAATCAGGAATTCACTGTTTAAAAGTCTATTATCTTCTTCTTCAAGGACTTGATGAACTTCCGGCCAATCTTCAAGTAGACAGTTCCTTTCCATCCATTTCCCTTTGAAAAATTGGATTAGAACTTCTTCAATCTTCTTCTATTCCTCCACAATGATCCCATTGTTATCTTTAATACTATGAATGTAATTGTTATTCTTCCTTGCACTAGCCATAGAATAGAAAAACTTAGAGTTTTGATCACCTTCCCCAATCCATTTCACTTTGGATCTTTGCCTCCACCATGTGTTTAACCGAGCTAGAGTAGAATTAAGCTCATTAATTTTGTATTTCAGCAGGACAGATTCTTCTTCAGATAGCCCTCCATCTTCAGCCTCCTTGATTTGAAGCTTTAGAATATCCTCTTTGAGCAGATTTTTTTGAACACCCAAGTCTTGAAGTTTAGCCTTACTCCAAAAGAATAAAGCTTTGATAGTTCTTTTTAGTTTGGCATTAAGAATTCCAGCAGCTGAACCCTTGTCCTTCCTTTTCCAGGCATCCTTAACCACAACATAAGAGGTCGGGTAAGAAGCCCAAACATCCTCAAACTTTACGGAATTCAAACCTTTAGAAGATTGATAAAAAATTTTAAGTATCAAAGGGAAATGGTCTGATGCAACCCTGGAAAGATGCTTCACAACTAACTGCTGATTGTAGTTAACAGCAATGGAATTAACCAAAATCCTGTCTAACCTTTCCATGATTCGATCTGCTCCTTTTTTGTTATTACTCCAAGTAAGCCTAGGACCAACAAACCCAATCTCATGAAGATCATTAGAAGTCAAAAAGGACTTCATTTATTTTGGGCCCAAGGAAAAAATAAACCTTCTTCCACCCTTTTTATCTTCTTTGGATAACAGACAATTAAAGTCACCTCCAATCAACTTTGGCAATTCGTTAGTGATAAACGGTTCCAAGCCATTCCAAAGAGATCTCCTGTTATATACATCTTTACTTCCATAAATTGTTCCAATCCTCCAAGTACCTTTATTGATTATGTCTAGATCACCAATTAAGAATTGATTAGAAGAATCTATTTTAATGAATTTGGAAATATTCCTTCTCCAGAGCACTAAAATGCCTCCAGAGAATCCATTTGAAGGATGGTAACAATAATCCCAATCAATGCCAATCAAGTTTTCCACATCTTTATTCTCAATAGAAACCATTTTAGTTTCTAAAAGCCCAATAAACAACACATTTTGATCTTTTACTACCTCCTTGAGGTAGAGAGAAGCCTTTTTTTTATTGGCTCCTCTACAATTCCATATCAAAATAGAATTCATTGATGGATAAGTGGGGAAGAATTTCCCCCCTTCTCCTTAATACAACTTTCCTTTTTCCTGTTTCTAGTCATCAAATTAATAGGACCTAGGCTTTTCAATTGTTTCAAACCTTTTTTCTTCAAAGTAGATGAATTATCTTCATTAAGGTTGTCCTTGACTAAGGTAGAAACTAAATTTCCAAGTATGTCTTTCTAATTAGATTCCTCCTCCAAGCACAGCATCCCCGGAGTTACATTACCTTCCAAAATCTCACCTTCTTCAGCCAATGAACCTAAGACTTCAAATTTGTTGTTGAGAGAATCTTCATTTAACCCAGCAGCATTGATTTCTACAGCAATTCCCTGACAGAGCATATCTGTTCCTTCCCTTACATTTTCAGATTCCACAGTTTCATTCCCACAAGAAGTCTTCATAATGCCCTCCGTCTCAGGCAATTTGTCTTCAGCAACTGATTCTATGTTATTACTAATAACAGAGTTTGCTTCTACCTCTATCATTGAATTACTTTTTCCAACATCTTCTCGGTTGAAATTGGTTTTCAAAGCCTTTCTCTTTTTGTTCTCCACCTGTATCCATGGACCATACAGATCTTTATCAGCTTCATTATTAGAATCACCCACTGGAGCTTTAGAATTAGGAACAGGCTTATAATCATTTTTGCTGACCAAGTCTTCTGCTCCAAGATTACTTTTAGCAGGAATCAAATTATCCAAACAATCTTCCTTTAAATGACCCAATTTACAACATTTAAAACAAAATGTAGGAAGCCTTTCATATACAATATTTTGGTAGAATTTTCCCAACTTGCCTTCTATCCAAACTCCCAAAGGGAGTTTTTCATCAAGTTTGACTCTCACGCAAACTCTTGCAAATTCTCTACGACTCCATTGAAACATATTTCCATCCAGCAAATAAGGAATTCCCACCATAGAAGCAATTCTACAAACATTAATTTCATCCCAGCATTGAAGAGGAAGGTTAGGCATACGGATCCAAATTGGGGCTATAAGCCCTTTGAAGGAATTAGGAGAGAAGGAGGCAGTCCATCTGTCCATACCAACAATATTGCCGTTGACATACCAAGGACCAGAAGTAAAAATTCCCTCAGCCGATTCCTATTCTTCAAATGCACATAGTACCCATCCTAACCACAGTTGGGTTAAATGAAACCTACCAAATTTTGTTCATTCATTCCTTAACTCAATAGTAATAATATTGAAAGGAATATTGTTACCAAAGACTTTAATAACCAAAGCCTTTTGAAGTATGTTGGAATTCTCTAATTCCTTCTCCTCATGAAGCTTAACCACCCCTTCGTTCAGGAAATTCTCTCCAAAATTAAGATCAGACACCTTGATGTTTAACTTCTTTATCCACGCATTAGACTCAAAAGGGCTATCAATTTTGCTGGGTTGCTCTCTAACTTCCTTCTGAATGCTGTAATTCCCAAGTTCTCCTCCTTCACAATTACGGACCTTCAAAAGATCTGAGTTTTGAAGACTAGCTTCATCAGTATTTTTACTTCTATCCAGATCTTCAGAAGTCTGGATCGCATGTAGTAATTCTTTCCTGCCACTATCTATTTTGGATGGGACTAAATCACGAGAAGTTGGTGTGCATTTATCAAACTCAAGGGATTTACTTAAATTCATAATCTTGTCAGAAAATTTATCAGTCAAATTTTCCTCCATCAAGATTCCCTTTCCTTTCCCTTCATAATCTTGAACTTTCTTTTTCAGCATTAAACCTCCTTCATTGATTACAATTGCCCGTTCTTTGGATGAATAGAATTTTCTATCATTTTCAAAACCAGAGTCTCCAAAGGCCGGAGGAGACGAACCAGTTTGTCGAATAAACTTACGAGAAGATGGAGGATGAGGTAGACGGTGGATGACTTGATCAACAGTCGCCGCTGATCGGCGATCCTCCATCGCCTACAACGATCGGCGGAAACCCCGCGAAGCAAAATTTCAAAAAAACTCCCAGACGTTCTCTCTCTTACTTTCCTCGATGATTGTTGCAGTTGGATGGATTAAATAAAATAAAGAGCTGCACTCAATGTTGTGGACATGAAATGTTAGTAGGCAAGGCACTCATAGAAAAATAGGAATGTTTTCTATCATCAAAATTCTATTCCTTGAAAATAGATTCGCAACACCCCCCTCTTGGCTCATCTCATACTTTCAATTGATATTAGAGCGGGGTTCCAAAAATTGTATTTTAGAAAATGTTAAAAAATATCAATCATGACATATTTTGGCAACTGTAATATTGTGGAGGGTTATTCTATAACTCGTCCACCCTTGTTTGACAATATAGTATTTCATTTTTGAAAAATTTGAATGTCTATATTTTTACAGTCTATAAACTATCATATGTGGATGTTGGTTCAAGAAGTTTACACTGTACCTTTTAAACTTGTGATTGACATTAAAACTCAAAAAGTGTTTTATGAATGGAGCAATTAGGATAGGGATCTAGCCCAATTAAATGCAAAGTGCTTGAATTATTTCTTTTGTGCATTAAAATAAGAAGACTACATGAGAGTATCCACCTATGCTACTGGTAAGGAGATCTAGGATATACTGTATATCACGTACAAAAGAACTAGTGAGGTTAAATAGTATAATTAAACATTTTGTTACATAATTATGAACTCTTTCATATGAAATCTAGCAAAACTATACCTGACATGTACACTAGGTTTATCTAGATAGTGTCATCCTTGCATGCATTAGATAGAGAAATTTCTAATTCTAAAAAAGTTAATAAAATTTTGAGATGTTTACCTAGTTCTTATGATGCTAAAATTACTATAATTTTTTAGTCTAAAGATTTAAATGTTTATTCCATTAACAATTTTCTTGGGTCACTCATTGTTTACGAGCAAGGAGTGAAACAAAGGCAAAATGATACAGGAGAAAAGAAAAAAGAGTATAGGATGGCTCTAAAAGCAAATAACTCAAAAAGTGAAAGTTCTGGAGTAGAGGAAGATGATGATATAGCCTTGATGATTCGAGAATTCAAGAATTTACTGAAAAGAAATAATGGCATGATCAAAACAACAGGAACAAAGGTAAAAGCTCAAAGAATAATAAAGTTTAATCTGACATAATTTGGTTTAATTGTAGAAAACTAGGTCACCTCCGAGCTGATTGCCCCAACATAAAGATCCATCCAACTAAAGAGAAGGGCAATGAGAAGCTAAAATATAAGAAAGGAAAGCTAAAGACACAGATGTTGCGGATCTATGGCTTATGATTTTGATGATAGCAAAAATTCTTTTTCTCTATAACTACTTTCTACTAACATTTCAGGTTCACACGATTGGACTGCCAATTGGAATAAGCTCAAGATTGGGTAGACTAGGTCTGAGTCAGTTTGTACACTTTTTCCTTTCTTGAGTCTATTGTATTTGGTGTGGGTCCTGATACTTTGTAACTTGGAAGAGTTTCTAACTGGACCCTAAAGTTTTCTATTTTTGGTAATATCAACCCGGACGATATTTATATCGGCCTGGACGATCTATCCAAAAGCAGAAACACTAATTAGGGCATCCTCATCAAAGCAATCGTCATTGTTCAAAACACTCATCCTGGATGAATTTATATCGGCCAGGACGATCGGCTCAATTCAGCAAAAATCTGCCGCCATATCTACTTAGGAAAATCTTATTTTTGGACATCGTCCTGGTATATCGTCCTGGACTATAAAATATCGTCCCGGACGATCAAGAGCAATTTTTCCAAAATTTCTCAGGCAGTTTTGGAAAGCAATTAATGGGTATTTCGTCCAGGCCGATAGCAAGATCGTTCAGATGATTAGACATCGTCCAGCTTTATTTCAGGGCGATATTCAGGACGATTTTTCTCATATT